TAGGGATGAGGGTATATTCTCAAAAAGCATGGCTGATTGGGCCGGGGATTTAGCTCAGTGGTTCTGCCGCCTGCCTCGTAGGCACAAGGTACGGAGTTTGATCCCTGGTACCCAAAAAAAGATCATGGCTGATAGAAAATTAATACCTTATCTAATTTAATAAAACATATTAATAGCATGAATATAGATATTAAATATAGAATAATTTTATATTTTTATATGAGATAAAGTTAGAGTAAAAATTTTAACCATTGCTATGATTTGAACATAGTTTGTATCCTCCAAAACTCATGTAGCAGATTAATCTCTACTGTGAGTTATTACTGATTATGATTTGTCCCTTCTAAAACCTACATTGACGATTCACCTCCATTGTCAAGTATTCAAAGGGTGGAAAATTAATCCAACTATGGTGTTTAGAGGTGGGGACTTAGGAAGGTAATGAGAATTAAGTAAGGTTATTAGGATATAGCCCCCATGACTTAACAATTCTAGTGGCTTTATAAAAACAGGGAGATATCAAAAGACACATACACTACACATACGTTTCCTATTTCTTTCCATGTGATGCTCTCCATTGCCTCTGAACTCTACCAGCAAGAAAGGGTCATCAACAGATGGGGCCTCATGAACTTGGACCCCCAAAACAGTGAGCCAAAATAAACTTTTCTTGAAAAGTTACCCAGCCTGTGGCATTGTGTTTCCAGCAAGAGAAAATGACTAAGAAATTCACTGTTGTTCAATAAATGGGTACATTATCTCTAATAGGTATATCAGTTATTAGGGTAGAAATTTGGCACTCTAACAGGAATTATATGTAAGGTTTTTCCAGAAATGTCCCTTTGAATTTAACTCACTTTATTCTGATTCTGTACTCATTAAATCACCTGATTATTTACTAGGTTTCAAAGGAATTATGATGCCTAACAAAATGTCATAGAACAAAGGTCTCAAAATTTTTCAATAAAAAGATACTGTTGAGCCCAGCATGGTGGCATATGTCTGTAATACCAGCACTTAGGAGGCTAAGGCAGGAGGATTGCCCAGAGTTTGAGGCCATCCTGGGGTACACATTGAGTTCAGGGCCAGACTGAACTTTACAAAGGGAGACCCTGTCTCAAAAAAACCAAAAGAAAATAAAATAAAGATACTGTTTTGGTTTTTTGGTACCAGGGATCGAACTCGGATCCTTGCACTTGCACAGCAGGCAGCGAAACCACTGAACTAAATCCCCGGCCCCTAAAGATACGGTTTTACTAATCTATGTTATGTACATTACAACATACATACATACATAAAATATTTAAAAGGGTTATATATGAATAAACAGAAGTTGCATCTTCTCACATGGTAGTGCTATATTATAGATGATACTTTAGAGATAGGTGCTCTAGACAGCGGAAAGGTATTAAGTGTAACATAAGTAGTAATCTGGAACTGTGTAAAATAACTTTACATAAAAGGATAAGATCAAAAATCTGATTCTTGAGAAATTGAAATCCTTACAACAGCAAGACAGTATGGATAATGAACACCTAAAGCTTGAAGATTCAGGTACCAGTATGTGTTCCAATACGAGCTAAACAAAATCTCTCTTTCTTTTTTCCCATTAAGTTTATTGGTACATTTTAGGTATAAAATACAGTTACTTTCATCATTGGGATCTTGTACCTTTATATGAGTATCTTGGTTCTTATTTATTTCCCCTTCCCCTGCCCTCCCTCCACCCCCTCCACCCTTCCCTATTTGCAAAGACTTTGTTTCCATTTTTT